CCCCCCCCCGCCACCACCACCATCACCACCGCTTCATATTCACACATGAAAGTCACAGCCCGAGTTAGAAGTCTGTGAGATTTTGCACTCACATTGTAGCTGACAACTCATCTTGACAGGTGAGAATCGCCCACTCACGCATTTGCAATCCCTCCACGCCCTCCCTCGTTCCAGCACATGTATAATGCCTATAGATGTAGAATATTGAATCATCATCATATAGTCTTGATCATGAAGCAGTACAATGAGGCCAGAAGTGTGTTACGGACCGGTCGCTGTAAAGTGATGCTGAGGGGCGATGCGATCCAAGAACAAGGCGCGGGCCAAGTAAACAGAGATGTGAGAGTAAACACGTTCTGCTCCCGCGGCTATTTCACCCTCCTCTCTGTCCTTCCCCTCCTTCCCCCGCCCGCTGATCTCTAATCCTACAGCAGATGATGCAACAGCAAGCAGCCCTGATGGCGGCAACACAAGGGTCCTACCTGAACCCCATGGCGGCCATTGCTGCCGCACAAATGCAGCAAATGGCGGCATTCAATGTCAACGGTCTGGTGGCGACTCCAATGACGCCATCCTCAGGTATGAGGGGGAGTTTTCTTTCCACTTTTCCTCTCTGCGGCCTGGACGATTTACATATTTATCCAAATTGATTAGTTGTTGTCTGATGAGTTGTTGACTCGTGAGATTCTCTGAGGTCTGCTGTTAAAAGCGTGGCGATAACAGACTTTTACCATCAAGTGTCTCCGTGAACCACGTACATACTTTTCCGAGTCAAATTTGGAACAATCACCTGTTGGCCTTTAAAAGAGGTTATGGGGGATTTTGTAACAGCAACACACTAAAGATCAGGAACATAAGTCAGAGTCAGCCTTGACACAGTTGCAAGATGTACAGTGTAGCAAATGAAAATGCACTTTTCTCTTTCACTGATGGGTGGAATGAAGGATTAATAATCCATATATTAATTTCAAGAAGGCTGTTCATACATTTTGAGTTGATCTGTAGTTACTAATTTAACATTATAGACAATAATTATCTGGATATTTTTGGCCTGGGCCAAAATTGACCCAAAACGATACTATGTATTCATGAAAAATCAAGTGCGTGCTAATAAGTGACGAGCAAAACTTATTTTTGCTTCCTCATCTAAAAACTCATGCATGACACTTTTCAACGACATGGGCTGGTTTCGCTGATTTGTCTGATCACCAATGTAGTTGGCAATTGATGTATTAACCCCTGATAGGGCAAGGAGTCAAATATCTTGGTTTAAAATTGAGTTATTTTGGACATCACTGTGAGGCAATAAACCCATACATTTCTCCAACCTAATCACATAAAATTATTAATATTATTCTAATATAAAATTCTGGATTGCTCGTAACTCACCGGTGTTTGGTAGAAAAGCTAGCATTCAGAATTCAAGCATTTTTTGCAAGCCTTAAAAAAGCTACCGTACGTTAAAAAAAACAAAAAAAAAACAAAAAAAAAAACAAGCACTTTCAAGAAATCCAAGTGGCCGGAGGAATATTGTTTTTTACAGGCAGGATTATGAGAAGAAGCAGTGGTAATAAATTCATGCAAGGTCCTTCCTACATATGCCCTTGTTGCATTTTTTAAGACTTTACTTTCCGGGCTTGGAAGAAGCCTGCGTTGAAGGTAGGCCATGATGGTGGGACATGTACGGCATTTCCTCCACATTCCTTGGCAGCCGCATTACACTCTTCCTCTCGCTCTTATTATCTCTCACTGCCTTGCTGTCACTCGCTCTCCGTGACTGTGTTTTTTTTTTTTTCTCCTGGGAACGCCGCCAATCCCAATGACTTTGGATTCCGAGTCCTTGGTTTAGCAAATATAAGAGCGATGACTCAAACGCGATAATCCCGGACCTCGGTCTGAATTACCTTCTCGGCCGTTGTCACGAAAGACTTTTTTTGACGGCTCGACACTAAGTAGGCAGGCAGGCTGAAAGGCAGGGTCATTGCAAATACATGAAATAAAGTGTCTCGACGCTGTACGGTGCATTTGTAATCCACAAGGCGTACACATACCAGGTAATGCCTATCAAACGTAATCCCAGATGTTTTAAATGCCCTTCGCCTTGGATGAGAAAAATAATACAAATCCATCGGCACAAAAGGCCGCTTACAAGGTGACACAAGTCAGCCTTCTCCATCGAAAAGATGCACCGCAGTCTCCTTCTCGAGACTCATATTTGGGTCATTGGATGATTATCATCTTCAAATATGTTCATTTATAATTTGTTTGAATTAGAAATCGCGCTAATCCTAGTTTTCCATGCTGCGATGGGGATTTGAGCTGCGAGTACAGCGAGAGTTTGATGGAGTGAATACAGAGAAAATGAAGAATTTGAAGCAAACCCATTCAGATGTCTGGTGACTAACTGTAAATTATTACACGCATTTTGTTGCTTTGTTTTGAGTCTGCAACATGTAAATTCCCTCTTTTTCATTTATTTACAAAAAACAAAAACAAAAACACCACCACATATTTGCATATATGTTTGCAGGCACCAGCACACCCCCAGGCATCACTGCAACTGCCGTCCCCAGCATAGCCACCCCCATCGGGGTCAACGGCTTTAGTGCCCTCGCGACACAAACCAACGGGCAGCCCACGTCCGAGCCAATTTACACCAACGGCATTCACCCTTACCCAGGTGAGTTGGAAATGTGTTTTGGGCTCAGGATGTATTGTCTTTAAAGGGGAAGGCAATCCCCAAATTTTCTTCACTAAAATATGTTCTATGCAGCTCCACTCGTCTAAGCACGGTATTCTGATTCATATCGCCGATGTGGAATATGAGTTAAGCAATAAAATCCACTCGTTTTTGTCCATCGCGGGGCGGCCATTTTGTCACTTGCTGTCGACTGAAAATGACATCACAGTCGCTCAGGGGCTCCACTTCCCAAAGCAGGTGAGCTTAACTCATATCTCACAAAGGCAATATGTATCAGAATGCCGTGTTTTGACGGGTGAAGGTGCGTAGAACATATTTCGAAAGAAAATTTTGGGGTTGACTTCCCCTTGAACGACAAATGTCGCATGCAACACGATGAATGGCGTCGCATGTTCCGATTTAAAAGTTGACAGGTCTGTTATCCAGTTTACCCAACTGTGACATGTCTTTTTGATTTGAAGCCTTTTAAGCTCCGGGCGCCATTCAACTGCATCTTTGGCAGATTTCAGAGCGGCCAACCTCTATATGATGATGAATCAATCATTTCATCCTTCAATCCATTCTGGTTAATTTGATGCGCGTCAGCCTGTCTTGAACTCCTTGATGCTGTCTGGGAATGATTCCTGGAGAAGTGACAGGACTCGCGCTCCCTTACTTGTGTTTTATGCAAAGAGAGCGGCGGTTGTAATGAACTACAAAGTGGTTTGTTTGGCACGTTATTAATATTTGATGGAAACATCTGGGTCGAACAGGCAATTTTGAAGAACTGAGGGTGATGACAACCCAAATATCTGCCATCTCTCAGTCTGATCCTACCCCCGATGGCTCTCCAAAGCGCTGCAGTTCACAGTAGCTCACCAAAGGCCTAAGTAAAAAAAGCAACATTTTGTTGCGCTTTATTTTAAGATTATGTAATTTTTTTTTACGTTGCTTTTGCAGTCGGTTTCATAGTCGACTTCCATCTCTTGCGCCGATTTGCTGGCTAACAGCCAACCACAGTGATCAATCGTCACAGATGGCTGACACCATTTTGAAGACTGCGATCAATAGCTCAAATGATATCTAAAAAAAACTGCATGAACAAAAATCCTCTTCACTTCATCACAATTTTAAATGTTGCTTTTAAGTTCATGAACCCATGAATGTGGATGATATGATAAACAATGATTTGTTTGCTCACTATTGTGTGAAATTAATGACAAATGTGCAGTTACCACAAATGACGTGTGGTATCACGGGATCTGAAATTACTCAATCCATATAAAAATGGCAGCAAAGTCAGAGATGTCAAAATCTCCCCTGATATATGGAAGTGGACAGAAAGTGACCGCCAGTAGCTCCGCCCCCGATAATGAATCTTATGTTTGTGGTCTGCGCGAGACAAAAAACCAAAGGTAGCACACGGAGATTTGTTCACAATCAGTATTTGAAACACAAACCTTCTAACCGTTTGGCAAGACCAGCTCATCGGTCCAGCTCATATTTCTTGAAAAAACCCAAAGGGTTTTCAATCCTGATTTTCAGATTCACAAAACCAACCAAACTGGAGTGAGTCATTGCTACTGTACCACACCAAACTGTCCTGCTGAGTGGAAAGAGAAACATTTGTCTCCCATCTTTTTGTCTTTGTCTCAGAGCCTCGCTTGACCACTCTCCAACCTCTCTTTGTTTTCCACTTCCGCCTTTTTCCACCCCACTGCCTCTCTTGCAGCACAGAGTCCGACGGTGACCGACCCTCTCCAGCAGGCTTATGCCGGGGTCCAACACTACGCAGGTGATCCGTCTGTCGTGTCTCCTCTCCCTTAAGTCGCTCGCTCGCTCCATCTGCAGCTCTCCCTCTCTGTTTGTCACACTGGTAGACACTCTGACAAGTCAAGATAGCCGGCACAAGCGGCTAATTTCCACCAGGATTAGGCTGCTTCACATTCGGATTGAGAAAGGATTTGGAGTTGACTTGATAGCACGCCCCCCCCCCCACACACACACACACAAAAAAAAGAAGACTTAATTCCAAAACTACACAAAGAGATGAGGTTCTGAACTCGTCATAGTCTATACTAGAGATGACATAAGGCTTCTCACTGTTGCCTGACATTGACTCTCATGAACTAGGCGTACGTCTTCATGGACGGCTGAATCGCTGCTTATTGACACTTTAGAGTACATTAGTAGCTCGCAGCAACACGACAATCCATTCAGCGACATTAAGGTCATCCCGTGCCAAAAATCAGAAAAATATAACCAGAGATTCGGAAGCCCCAAATATCGTTTGAGGTATGGCGGCTATTTTTCACCCAAATTGTGTGCCACTTTTGGATTGTTTGAATACAAGCTACCATCGTATTTGTTCCATCAAATATGAAAGCAGAGAAACGATTATCCCCCCCCCCCCTCTTCCTTTCTCCCCCTTTTGCAACAGCAGCCTACCCCGCCGCCTATGCTCCAATCAGCCAAGCATTCCCACAGCAGCCGACCATCATTCCCCAGCAACAGCGGGAAGGTAAGAGCGGGTGAACGCGCCCACCCAAGATAAAAGGTGATAATTGCTGTGTTCCATTCTAATGTTGCCGCGCCGCTTTAAATTAGCGACGGGAAGGGGAAAGAAAAGAAGGTGGGGTCATGGTACGAAAAGAAAAGACCGTCTTGGAGTATGAAGACAAAAAATAATAAAGTGATGAAAAGGTTCCGCATTTCAAGAACATTAGCGACGAGACAAAAGTTACTCTGTCATTATTCAAAAAGCGCACTAATTCACACTCGGACTGCTTAATCAGTCCATTACAATGTATTTAAGTGGTTATAAATATTCATCAGATTAATTATCTGCATGCATAATCATTTAGCGCCATCAGTAGAAGAAGCGTTCACATTCACACGAACTCACATGCAGACACATACACACACTCGCACGGGCCTGGGCATCAAATGTAATAAAGCAAAGGATTCACGCTCATGTTAAATGACTCTTTTCTGACATATTTCCTCCGTCTTAATTATTCATCCGTATGATTGTATGTAGGAGACATCTTAGTGAATATTCTATGCAGGAGGTATGAAACAAAGTGCTTTAAGAAGAAATTTATTTACCACAGTGGGAGCGCAAGTGTCCGGAATTGAATTGCAGTGCGCCAGTCGTTTGCAACCAGCTATTGAATCACGGGTACATATAGACAAACAACATTTCGCAGTCAAATTGGCACCGATGGACAATTTTGAGTCTTTAATGAAGCTAACATCCATGATTTCGTAATGCCGGAAGTACCTGGAGAAAGCTTTTGCAAATACAGGGGAGAACACGCACACGACAAACAGAAAGGCCAGAGTTGACATTTGAACCCCAGAACTGTGAAGCAGACGTGCTAACCAGCCCCCCGGCGCATCCTGTTGAATTCCGAATATTCAGAGAGATTGCATTGTGCAAGAAAATTCAACATCTATTTTTTTTTTTCTGTTGGGATTATTGCTGGGCGGCACCGCGGTGGACTGCTGAGCACGTCCGCCGAATCAATCATGGGGGCGAACCCTAGTCCTAGCCAGACCACTGTGCTAATCAATACCCATTTCTCACCACCTTAAATTTGAATCTAGGAGAAATAGAAGTCAACTTCAAGCTTTAACAATAACAGAACACACCAGCAAAATCTTTTTCTGCATTCCTACATACGCTTTGTTGTTTGAAGCCGTTCTACTGTTGATGAAAGAGGAGCGATTCAGTCTCCTTTGACCATTTTTTTTCCGAGAGGATGTGTTCACAACATGTATGGTGTGACATGAGTCTGCTGCAAACTAAGTTTGAAAGTCTGGAAAAACAGTATGGATTAGTGACACAATATGAAATTTAGCAAATCTGTGAAGCAGACGTGCTAACCAGCCCCCCGGCGCATCCTGTTGAATTCCGAATATTCAGAGAGATTGCATTGTGCAAGAAAATTCAACATCTATTTTTTTTTTTCTGTTGGGATTATTGCTGGGCGGCACCGCGGTGGACTGCTGAGCACGTCCGCCGAATCAATCATGGGGGCGAACCCTAGTCCTAGCCAGACCACTGTGCTAATCAATACCCATTTCTCACCACCTTAAATTTGAATCTAGGAGAAATAGAAGTCAACTTCAAGCTTTAACAATAACAGAACACACCAGCAAAATCTTTTTTCTGCATTCCTACATACGCTTTGTTGTTTGAAGCCGTTGTACTGTTGATGAAAGAGGAGCGATTCGAAGTCTCCTTTGACCATTTTTTTCCCGAGAGGACGTGTTCACAACATGTATGGTGTCACATGAGTCTGCTGCAAGCTAAGTTTGAAAGTCTGGAAAAATAGTATGGATTGGTGACACAATATGAAATTTAGCAAATTGTGTGGATTCAGACTGACAGCGAACTAAATACGGCTTCCCCCTCGTCTGAAAGTCTCCTGCGGATGTCACTCATCTCCTCTGTGCTGTCTCCTCCCCTCACCAGGGCCAGAGGGCTGCAACCTGTTTATTTATCATCTGCCCCAGGAATTTGGTGACGCCGAGCTCATGCAAATGTTCCTCCCTTTTGGCAACGTCATCTCGGCGAAAGTCTTTGTGGACAGAGCGACCAATCAGAGCAAATGTTTTGGTGAGTTCCAAAAAAAAAATCAACAGTGGAAGTGATGTGGATGGGGAAAGCAGCTTTAATTATGCGACCGCGTTGTGAAACGTTCTCATGCTTCTTCTTGCTTTTCTGCAATTAGCATTTGCCTTTTTTCCCCCTTAATTCCCACTGTCTATCCTAATCAAGCTGCAATTAACATTTTAAAGGTGGTGTTTCAAGCCACTGAGCGAGAGGGAGTGGGGGGGGTTGTATATCTCGTTATCAATCAACCCTATCAGCGAAGGTTAATGCAGCGATGGGGACGAAATGAAAGATCAACACTTTGAGTAAAAATAAGGAACACTGCAATGTGTTATAAATGCTGTTATGAAGGGCAATTTACTTTTTAATGAACCATGCTAAGGCAGTAAACACACATTTGTAGACAATTTGATGGAATTAAGTTTGATTATGATATTGAACAGGCTATTAATCAACTACTGGTGTTCGGAATTTCTTAAAACCTTCCTAACGTTTCTTTCATTAATTCACTTGAGCGCACACACAGTGGATAGTTCATTCATTCAGTCATTTTCCGATCCGCTTTATCCTCACAAGGGTCGCGGGGGGTGCCGGAGCCTATCTCAGCTGTCTTCAGGCAGTAGGCGGGGGACACCCTGAACCGGTTGCCAACCAATCGCAGGGCACACAGAGACAATTTGGAGTGTTCAATCAGCCTGCCATGCATGTTTTTGGAATGTGGGAGGAAACCGGAGTACCCAGAGAAAACCCACACAGGCCCGGCGAGAACATGCCGGAGTTGAAAATTGAACCCGGTACCTCTGCACTGTGAGGTCGACGCGCTAACTTACGAGAAGCCAGTGAACCCTCCGAATGTTAATTTATGGTAAAATGTGTGGGGGTTTTTCCCCCCCTCACTTTTCTAATAGGCACCCGCATTCCCCTCTTCCAGGCCTATTCTACCACCTTTAATGAACAGCATCTCACTTCGCCCTCTTCCCCCACGCAACCATTTCATCAGGGTGGAGGCCGGTTGAGGTGGACTCCACAAGCTTAAAGAGATAATAATAGACTGTTGTGGACCTTACTGTTGATTCAGTCGGACAGCAGCACCCAGGAGATAGCGCGCAGAAGACTCCCGGCATTGGCTTTCTTTCAGCATCTCTTGGACACGCTTGTCCATGAGGCGCTCAGCAACCCCCACCCGCTCACCCGTGCATCCTTCTCAGGACAGAGAACCCCTTCCTCACTATCCGTCACGCTGTGGGAGACGACGTATGGTAGCGGACGGCAACCCCGTCAGTCTCGGGCAGTAATTAAAATCATGTCCATAAAAAAGAAAAAAATGGCACATTAATTCTTTGTGAAGGTTTCCATGTTTTAATAGTTTGGCTAGAGAGTGGAGGCGAAGCCAGAAACAAAGTAGGCAGAAGATTGTGTCTAAAAAAAAAAACAAACACAAAAAGTGTTAACACGAGTAGCTATTATGCTAACGGTACACAGGCATCAGAACGAATAGTAAAGTGAAGTGGAAAGCTTTCAGAGATGAGAATGAGCCTTTCTAAGTAAGCGTATTCTTGTCTGAAAGCAGGTGCTCCCCCGCCCCCAAGAAAAAAGAAACTTTATATTTGAAAATCTTTTTCCCAGAAACTTCTCTTGTCGCAACTATGTATGTATCGTTTTCTGTCTCTACCGCCCAAATGATTTTTAAAAACCCTTCAAGAAAAATCATACAAACATTTTCTTCTGACTCAAGATTGGAAGCATTTGACCACATTTCCACGTCAAACATCTCTGTAAATGTCTTGATCGTCTGTCTCCACGCCAGAATGATTGAGCAAAATGATGCTGCGCGGAAGAAGAGTTGACACAGCGCGGATGTCGCTCAATTTCCCGTAGCTGACATCGTTGGACAGCAAACCAATTGAGACTCTTCAGACAGCCCAACTTCTGGCACCAAAATAATTCATCCTGATGATTGCTTCTTTTTTAGGTTCCTTTAACCACATGAACAACTGAAATTCAATGTGGTTTTTAACATGTAGCCGTGTTTCTTTAGTACCTTTAAAAAAAAAAAAATGTCCCTTTATTTTTATCATGCCCCTTTTATGCGCTAAATCCCTCACACAAAAATGATCAGACAAAATGAAACCTTATAGTCCAAAAGTAAATTATGTATCGACCTAATTTGGGGAATTCAAAATTATTTTCATTTTGAAGCGATTCAGGCAAACCAGAGAGCGCCACTTCATTCACCCTCAACTAGTTTGTCGTTTAAAATGGTAGACCGCTACATCAGCTGTGGGAAGCTGAACTTACCACTCATTCGCACGAACACCCGCAATGGCAAAATTTTCCAGCTCAATACAACACAGGCATGGAAACAGCCATTGAAAACATTCAGAGATGGGAAAATTTCCCCCAAATTATTCCGTTTTTCATCGTCATGGAAATGAAGTCAAATACGCCTTCATACTTCCTACGACATCAATTCTTCAAACTCTGCAGCATCCCGATATGCTGATCCCTTCCCAAACAAACCACCCACATGCGCCAAAACGGCCCCAAACTGTCTTGTGAAAACAGCCAATTAAATGATGGCCAGAAATCTTCCAGTAGCTTTTAGACTTTCAGCCGTCCTCTAACAACAATTTGCCTCCTTCCTCCCCAACTTGCGATCAGCTCTTTCGGCATGAGGATGTAAATGTAAGGTATGGCGATTCATTAAATCCGGTTGGTAGGATCACAAGCGTGTGTGTGTGTGTGTGTGTGTGTGTGTGTGTGTGTGTGTGTGTGTGTGTGTGTGTGTGTGTGTGTGCTTGTGCGAGTATAGAGTGGGGGGATTTGGAGGAGGGATCACTGCCAACTGACAGGCCCTTGCCTGCTCCGTTTGTTTAAAAGGTTTGTAAAAGCAGCAGCCTTATCTCATCCGCACTGACAAAAGCCTGCCCTCTACCCCCAAATTAAATTGGACCCGTAGCAGTGCGATGAAATCAGCTGGCAGGCGGAAAATTCACGCCGTCAATCACCGCCGTGTCTGATAAGAACGGGCACGGAGTCCCGGTGTGGAAACCTGTGCTCTCATTGCGCTGTGACACCCAAGTGATAACTCAGTGCTGCAGGCGTCTATCATGGAACCATTTTTAATCGGGCGACCTAAGATTCCATGAGATGCCACCAAAACCTTGGCTAAAAAGAAAAAAAAAGGTGGGGGAGTAGTATTTGGTGTCAATGAAGTATGTGGAAGTGAGACATCACAAACTGTTCTTAGATTGGTCGCTAAGCTTTGCCAGAGGTTGTTTACGAAAGCTGCAGCACGTCTTTGCCACAAGTGTGTTTTATCGCCGATGAGGGGCTAAAACGAATCGTCATTATGACAGTGAATGATTCCATTTTCGAAACGTTGCAAAAGATGTGTGCAGGCAGTTTTTAGTTATGCTAAACAGGATTTGTTGGTGCCAAGAAATTTTGACCACGTTCAACCTTTTACGAACTCTGATGAACACTAAATATTTGCTACGTTCGCAACTATCCTTCGCAACATTACTTTTATGACGGTCATTCGTGTTTGTATATCACAGTTTGTTTTGTTGCACTTTATGTGAATTAATAAAGGCCAAATGAATATGGGCAATGCATATTCAATGATATCTATTTTTAAAATTTGAAACTAATGTGCACATAATTTGGGAAAAGATTAATTGAAGGAAAAGAATAAATTCTCTTTGTCATTATCGCAGAAATACACCCCCCACCCACCCAAAAAATAAATAAAAAATAAATCAGGGTTCACCTGATGCAGACTTGGGATCGCCATTTCCGTGCCGGGGTCGTACTTCAGCCTTGCTCGACACTTGTCCCCATTTGGGTCGCAGGTGATTTTGTGCGAGAGGCCAGCTTCACCCAAGACATGTTGCCAGCCGGAGGACACATAAAACCAACCATTCACACCTTTTGCCAAAAAGAGTCTTCACTTAACCTAAAATGCATGTTTTGGGAATGTAGGAGTAAGCCAGAGTACTCACATCCCTAACATGAAACATTTTGTGGTAAACTCAACTTTGTGAAAGTGTGGTTCGAATGATGATATGCTTCTTTCACATGTCCTATTGAATCTGTTCACACCTTTGTATGTTTTTGTGTGTGTGTGTGTGTGTGTGTTCACTGTCGCGCTCCCACTTTGAATTTCTAATAGCGCCTTCTGTTTGATTGTATTATCTGCCTTATTAGCCTTTGTGCTATTTTATGTAATCTTTTTTCAATTCCCGGATTTTCAATTAATGTGCTGAAAAGACAAAACAAAGCGCTATTGTCATCTCATTGTTCGAAGTTAAAAGGGGGCCTCCTTTCAAACGCCGTCTCATCTCCTCTTCCTCCCGTCACCCCTTCCCATCTTTGCCGATATTCCTTTTTCCTTCCACTTTCCCGTTCCTTTTTGTCACCCCAACCCCGCACCCGTCCCTCTGTGTTCTCATCTCAGGCTTTGTGAGTTTTGATAACCCGTCAAGCGCCCAAGCCGCCATCCAGGCTATGAACGGCTTTCAAATAGGCATGAAGAGGCTGAAGGTGCAGCTAAAGCGGCCAAAGGACGCCAACCGACCTTATTGACTGGTCTGCAGTCCTAATCGAGGTATGTTTTCACCTGATTAAAATTGTCATTTTAGTTGTCATGTCAATGTCAACCGTGCTGAACAACAGCACATTGAGGACATGAATAAAAACAAACAATACAAAGAAATATCAATACGTTTTTTGTTTGGTTGTTTTTTTTTTTTTCATCAGGAGTGTCTAAATACGCAATTTGCCCTCTCAAAAGAAGGTTCGGAATCCCATTAACGACTGCCGGACTTGCCAGTGTGAACTAAATGACATCATCAATACCCAACTGTGCATAATTACCTGACAACCGGAGACAGTGTTCGCGATCAATGCGAATTGTCAAGCGGACAAATTCCCCCCCAAAAAATGACAGCCCGCAGAGACCATGTCGGTTGGTGGAAAGAGAGCTTGCGGCAACTTGCGCTGTGGTGCTGTTGCAGCAGCGTGATTTCACGTGACAATGATGAAGCCAAACAATTTCAGCTCACATCATGAAAAAAACAAAACAAACAAAAAAAAAACCTTCAATGTTGGTTCCCTTTGGTTCGAAAACAAATAAACTTTCATATAATGATGAATTCTAAATCCAATTGTATTCCTCTCTGATATGTACTTTTTGTTGGGGAAATTTTAAGGGGGGGGGGTTCAAGTGGTGTTTTCGTCTACCAGTGGGAAGGTACTCAAATTGCCTTTCTGTGCAGAAAAGATAAACTTAATGCAAAAGATAAATACAGAAATAAAAAAGAAACAGTGCAGCCCTCACTGTGTGGCCAACCTCATCGCAAACAATGCAAGGCAAATCCAATTACTGTAGACAGGAGGGTTTTTGAAATATGCATTTCTGCCTTCAGGGTTATCTTTGTGTATATACAAAAAAAAAGACGGGAAAAATAAAGACATCAATTCATCCTTTTCAGACAGCAAGTTGTCTATGAATCTGTCCTCGGCACCACAAAAAGAAGCAAGTAATGACTTTCTCTGGTGGAGCGCTGATCATTATTTGTTATTTCTATTTAATATGTCAATCCTGTTATTTCGTGTTTTCGTTTACCCACTCGTTGTCTTGCTGAGCAATAATAAGAAGAAAACTGGGCGCTTTATGACACAAGCCAATCACACTGTAAATGTGTGCGTGTGCCTCCTTCTGTTCCGCCAAACTGGCAACCCAAATTGGCCAAATACAGTGCGAGACACCCTTGCTTCACCGTCGTCACGCCCGTCGCGAAAGCCAGCCAAGTTGGCGGAGCTGTAAGTTGGCACCATGGTGTCATTTGACTTGTGCTGACATCATGAGATAGGAGTGCGACTGCGTTGCATGACGTAGGCGTTGACACCGGCGCAGCTTGTGGAGTGCCGTGCAACTGCTGACTTTTTGGGCTGGTATCCGTTACGGTAGCTGCTGGGTCACTGGGACCATTTCTGGAAGTGGCCTTCATTAACCCTTTAATGCTGCTGAATGATTGTGCCCTTGTGATGCTTTGACTTTCTTCTATGGGGCTCGTATGTATAGCGGAAAGTCGAAAAGAAACTGTTCCTTGATGCTGGTTGACTTCGAACCAACTTTTGTTTTTCCTCATGGGAAATAATTTAAAGTAAATGAAAATGTTTTAAATAACGTTTGGCAATTCAAGTGCAGCATTCACTTGAAATAAAGTGAGTTCATTCATTCCGGGAAACCGCATACTTTGTAATTAAATGTACAGCCACTGCTTCAACTCTAAGCGTATTTAACTAAAACTCTAATAAAATTAAAATATTGTTACAAAATGTAAAGAATGTGCCACCTCGTGGCATTGCCAGAACAAATAGATGTTGCGATATTATGCCACCGTTTGTGATATAAACGGAACTAAATGATGTATGGATGATATATGATATTTAGATGTCATCTACTGTCTCCGCACTAAAAAAAAAATTGTGATTGAATTTACTCGATTTTATTTCGGCAAAGGGTTGAACAGAATAAAATCATCTTGTGTCCAGAAACATTTTTAAGTAGATGTAGATTAGACTTTGAAATACATATCTGATTCAGATGATTTTATTTTGTGCAACCACTTGACGAAATGAAATGCAGCACTTTTTTTTTCCGCGTATAAAAGAAATTGTGAAATCGCACATTGCGGTACAGCACGATCAAATTAAATACGGAAAACATTTGAAAATGAAAGTAATTTTATCATTAACCCTTTCAGGGACAGCGGTGACTACAGTGGACATCTTATGTTATCAGATTACAAGGTGCATGAAAGGGTTAAAATATAAAGTGGTGAAAATATAGAATCCACAGTACGTAATGTCAATATGTTGTACATTGGGCAGACAAGAGATTTAATGTATTTTATTTTGAGAAAATACATTCAAAAATGTGTATGCACTGTCTCGTGGTAAAATTGATTGCTATTTAATTAGCCGTCACTCACTTAGTATAGTGTATGGTAGTAAAAAAAAAAAAAGACAACCCCTCAGCCACCAAAACAAGCAAATCATTTACCAGCTCACCAGGTTACAGCTTCAGTGTGAGACTTTACCGTATGACTTTTATGATGTTCGACATTGGCGGTTTCGCTGTATTGATGTTTCTCTATCTCACCATTTCCTCGTGTCCGCAGTGTTTCCTCTGGCGAGCAATTATTTGTGCTTTTATATGAAAGTCTTTGCAAAGAGGACCTTTTTCCAGACGCAATCAACAGCTGTTTAGCGGCGAGATGGGTTGACGCCGAGTTGACCCCGCCGTATTTGCGCGGCCAATTAAATCTCGCCAAGAGCGCGGGCAAATGTTGACACTCCACTTCTCGGTGGATTTCCATCTGCGCAGGCCTCACTCACGCAAGATTGTTTTCTTTGCCCAACACCAGAATCACTTCTCGTTGTATTTATTTATGTATTTATTTAGGAGGCTGAAAACCGATTACACTGTGGCAACAGAGTGGCTAGCGCCGCCGCCTAGCCGCATTAGCCCAAAAATATCACCGCCGCGGAGCCACACTGAATGGATCCTGTTTTCATAGAAGGGTGCATTGTTTATGTGCCGGCATTATATTTGCTGAGAAAAAAGGTCCTTTCTTTGCAAGTTTCCAGTCTGGCCAGGTCAGTCCTAGATAAGGTTAAGTCAATTTCAGTGAGAGTGTGTTCTCTCAAAAGGTAGGTGATTCTGCCCTTCCTTTTGTCTAGCCAGATGCACCCATGAGACTGTCTGAGCCGGGTGGGGAGGGTCACCGCAGGCGTCTTTGTGGCTTCGAGTACGCCTCTTAATGTTCTAGGAGCCTTTTATGGAGGTGTCGATGAAATGTGGCAAAGTGAGGTGCAGGAATCTGCAACAAATGCAGTCGAAGCTCAAAGATCCAAAACAATCTACGTGTGCTGCTGTTCCAACTCTGGCTGGTTTGTGTTTTGAAGCAATAAAGCCAACAGCAAGTGATATGAAGAGAAAAGAAAAATTGGAGTCAAACTGTTGTCTTTGTAAAAGCCTTTTTAAGGGGATGGACAGTATGATTAATGGCAAGGCATCTCAAATTATTTAACATGACATTTTCAGTGTTCTTTTAGCGACCCCAAAATGTTTCCATTTGCCATCTTTCTCTTTCCTGTATTAGTTCTTTAAAGTTTAACACACATCAAACTATGATCCCAAATTGTTAAATATTTCAAACTCACCTCACAACATTACCTGACTAAAAAAGCAAATGGCTTGCACTAACAAAACAGCCAAAACTTAGCTCCTCCTTGCCACAAAAAGCTGGTCTCTCATTTGACATCCTATCATGTCAAGATATTTCCTGAACACCACTATTTCTATTTAACCTTTTCCATGCACCATGTAACCTGATAACATGATAAGCTGTCCACTGTAGTAACGGCTGTCCCTGAAAGGGTTAAACGGGGTTTTGGTAGCTTCTTGTCGAATCTTTGGGGTTAGTCATGTCCTAGAGTCTCCGCATGCTGGAGCTTAAAACAAACAAACAAAAAAAAAAAACATTTGGGGAAAAATTGCATCACAAAACGGCACATAAAAAAACATGACAAGACGAATTAGCTTTGACCCAATATTAGATGCATACTTAGTTTAAATTCTGAATCGTATGACCTTTGGAGCAATACAAGTTATCTAGCAAAGTTTCAGAGCTGCAATGTTTTCCCAGAGTTGTTAGCATAGAAAATAAAATAAAACTCCATTAAAGCCATTGATCTTGTGCTCTGGTAGACGTACAGCTCGAGTCAGTTGTTGCCTCCGAACCAGAATCCATAATCAGAACCGTTGGACATTTGTATGCAGCTAATGGCTGGCCTCGATTTGACTAACATCTAAAAAGCAGATCTATTATGGAACGATAACAAGCTCATTTTACAGGAGGCGGACGGTAGAACAAAGAGTGTCTGGCGGCGGGTTCGCATCGGCGAGTCGCGGCCTTTCATGTTCGCTCTTTCGAAGAGCAATTTGCTGTGATATCGCAGCCTTTCTTCACCCACATCATAGCTCCCAACATATTAGAGATAAACTAGATCTTTTATGTCCAAATCTCCGGCGCATGGATACATTTATCTGTCATGTGTCGACACAAAGGCAGAGCTGTGTCTCACGAGCTCTCTCTCTTTTGGTTGCAGCTGACATTGCTGTCAGTCTATGAAATGTTTTCTTACTAGTTTTAGCCAACGGACAAACAAACAGAGCACTTTTAGCTTCGAGAGATGCAGTTTTCAATGTCGAACATCAATAAAAAGCTTATAACGTTGTGGGGTTTGTATAAACGTTGTTTAACATTGTTGTTTTGTCCATTTTAAGGGACATCCCTGATCATTACATGAACACCTACGAAGGAGAGACCGATTTTCACATTTTGGTGTCTCAGAAAGATTGACTTTAGTAAAAATCTCTGTCATCTTGACATCAGATATCCGATCGAAATCATTTCAAAGTCAAAGCCCAATGGTCTTTGGTTGTGCTCTAATTCCTTGGTGGGATCACAGATTACACGAGAGGTTAAAATAATCTGCACACCGCCTCGAGCTCACTTATTTTTGGATTTGACTGACATGCGCACACACATACACACGACTCAGTTTGTTTCTTTTCTTCCGTCGCCGTCTGTGCGTTATTTTGTTGGCTATGCCTGCGAATCAGTCTGCGTGATAACTCCCTCGCTCTCTCCTGTCTCCGTGTGTCACAGGATGAAGGCCCCACAACACCTTATTTCCACAAGTGCAGTCAAAGTACAAAGACTCCTTGCTCTGCTACATATCACGACGGTCAGGTGGTCCCTTGAACCTGCTGGGACCCCACTGGAAGATTGAGTGACTGAGTGAAGATCCCAAAGTTTTTTTTTTTTTCGGTTTTATTTTGGTTTTTTTTTTTTTTGGTTTTTTTTTTTGCAAATGCCCCTTTTTGTCTTATCGATCTTTGTTTTATTTATTAATTTATATATGTATTTTTTTTTTGCTTGGGCATCCGTTGGAAGCGAATTTTTTGCAAAGACCAACTTTTTTGCTGCTCTTTTTTAGACGTGATGGGTTGAAAAGAAGAAAAAAAAATGATAGACTCATGATGCTCAAAGCATGCATACCATCAACACGCATACAAGCAAAATGCTATAGCTAATGAAAAATAACGACAACAAAAAAAACAAGTTGTACATAAGTGCGAATGCCAATTCAAGTACTGAAGCAAACACAGATACAGACGCATACATGCAAACACACATGTACACACACCAGCCTGCTGCCATTTTGGTTTTTGTGCCTACACAGACGTTGTGTGCTCTGTGACAGGGCTGAGCACTGGATGGATGACGACGGCAAGGAAGAGGAAGAATCCAGGATAATTTACATGCATCATTCCTTAGGAAATAGGGACCAAAGGACTATAAAAAAACAAAACAAAAAAAAAACGCTTTTAAAAGAATATAAATATATAAATATATAAATATATATTTAAAAAAAACTCATACCTTGTAGCTACAAGTATTACTCTTAGTCCAAAAAAAAGGGAAGGAAAAAAAAACATTAAAACCAATATCCAGTGGCCTATGTAATAAAAGAAAATGGACTATGTATCGGGGGAAAAAAATGGAATTGTAGCATAGGGGCTGATTTTTGTTTGTTCTGGATGCTAATTGGGCACCACGTTGTATCATAGTGGAGTAGGTAAAAAAAAAAAAAAAATGTACATTTGCTCATTTTTCCTGTTGTTAAAAAAAAAAAAATACTTGAAGTTGCAATGATAAGGGAGAAGAAAAAAGAATGAACAATGGACAGTGCTGTCTACGCCACTGGATATTACGGTCATCACGATGTCGGAGGCACCACAAAAGGAGAAACTGTTTCCCGGAAAGGGCAAAGACTGAACTTACTCGTGCCTGTGCTGGACAGAGTGCAGACACTCAAGGCTTCTCCTTAGCCGTTACGTTCAAGCGACAATCCACTGTAAACGACCAAGCAACACGGACCCCCGGGGCGTCTTTTCACATTTTTTTTTCTGACCTTTTTGTATTGCGCAATGTGAAAAGCTAAATGGTTCAATGAAGGGCATTGAATGCAAAGATTTTTAGGGAACAGAAAAGCTACTGAAACTGCCAAAAGAGTGAAAATTAAGTCACGTTTCCACCAAGTGGTATTGTTCAGTTTGCCACGGTATGGTTCTGCAGACCCTGATTAGGCTTTGATAGTGACATCCAGAAAGGGTGTAATCAGTCATTTTTGTTCCGCTTTGTCCGATTCTGTCCTAGCCGACTTAGGGCAAGAGGCTGTGTGCAGCGTAGACTTGGTTACCAGTCAATTGCAGGACACACAGACAAACTAGTCACACTCACGTTCATATCTATTACTGAAATACTAACAAAAGTCTTCAATTAATACCTAACAAGCATGTTTTTAGAAATGTGGACGGAAATCAAATCCACGAAGAGATCGAGTTAAGATTTAACCAGATCTTTTTGGCTATGAGGCAGCCGCATAGTCCACCATTCTATAGCATCACATTTTGCCACCAAATTAATCCAAGATATTACGCTATAGTGCACAGACAGTACCTTCAAATAAATACATTTTCAAGCCTTGATTTATCTGCCTTTTTTTTCTGTTCAACGCTCTGTATAAACGACAAGGACATGTAATGGGGTGACAAAGAACCCGCCTATAATCTGCCTTCAAAGGTTGCATCAGAGCCGCAAAGGAACTGTTACGATGCGTGCAAATCGTTTCCGGGAAGCTCAGATGGGTGCGAAGCTACGGTGCATGCTTGACACTCACGTCTCCTGCTGCCGTTTGTTCAAACAATGTTGGGGCGCTTTGTAAAAGCGCACACAATTGCAATCATATCCCGCATTTGTTGGGTTGTGGGTAACGAGCGGATATTTGGTTCTTTTGTTGCGGCTCTGATCCGACAAGTGTGCTGCGCAAGAGCGATGGAGAACATGAAAGGGAAAGTGTGTGTCTTGCTCCATCTTACGCAATGGGACCGAAGTTATCACAGTGATACCACTCAAAACATGACCGTGGAAATGATAAAATCCATACCGAACTGAACAGAACCATACTGCCTGTTGGAAACATGACTTAAAGAAAAAAAAATGTATCGCTGTCTCCAACGTCCCCTCAAAAAACATCAAACAGTGTTATGATATGAACAACTACCTATAGATGTAAGACATAAGACCAACTATTATACCACATCATGTACATTCCACTGTGGACATGTTCCTTGACCTAATTCCTTGGGAACGATCCATGTAGATTTCCGAAAAGATGAAGACACTCTCCTTCAGAAAAGGCCAACTTGTAAATGAGGTCAGAACGCTCCCCAATTTGCTCGGTTGGAACGCTGCACCGATACGATCAACAGCGTTGGATGGCAGGCAGTAAGAAGAATGGAGGCAGGGGGTGGAGGTGCAAGCATCCTTCAAAGTAATGCTTCTAGGATGAAGCCCAAACACTATAAAAATAGAAGGTGTAACCAAGCTCCCGGTGACAAGCACCATATATCTGTGCTGTGCGTTTCCAAAAAAGGGAAGAGGATGAAAGGGTTCAAAACGTCTGGAAGCTTGGTCCAAAGTGTTTGAGTATTAAATCCTATTTTGTCTCGAGAGAAAAACAACTAAAACCACATTTATTGCAAATAACTGACAGGCGATGTGCTGCAGATTTGTAGATTTATTGTGATAAAGCCCCCGTTGCCAAGATAGCGTCAGAGCCTCGTCCCTCAACTTCTGCTCTTCTCATTCAACTCAACGTCTCTTCGCGCGACTGTTCAATTATCCCCGGTCCTTTTGTAGCCCATATTGCACTGCAATCACCAGCTTTTTATCCAGCATCATTTTAAAAAGAAGAAAATCACCAGGATATTCACCGGGACCAAATGGTGAGGTGGAGGCGGAAAATCCAGAGTAAAGATTCACCAAAATGATGTTGGTGCCTACCCCCACATTGGAAAGTCTGTTGATAGCTGACCTGGCAGTTGCAACAATGACAAAATACCCCCAAACAGAGAACGTATAATGTTGTGAATCAAGCCGTTTTATATTGCCTGTGAATTTCTCACCCAAATCCCACCAGATGTTTAAAAAGAGAATCCCGCACATACAAATAATTGTACATTTATCTTGCCTGGAGTCATACGAGGATACGATTGTTTTTTTTTTCTTTTCAAATTCAAAATGGCTGAGAAACCAAACATTGATTTTCCTCCATAGACACCCTGCCTCGATAATTGCAAGAAGCGCCATCTACAGACCTTGCAAAACTAAACCTTAAGTGGACACCTCCTGCTATCCTACTAAAAAAGAAAAAAAAAAAACAACCTTTACTCTGACGGATAAGACCTCGGGTCTTGGGGAAACATATTTACCATGGAACAGATATGGCGCCTGTGAAACTGAGGTTTATGGTCGGGTTTAAAGAGAAAGTGCTTCCAGGGGCAATAGTTTGAAACAGTGATGCAGAAGGAATTAGGGATTGGAAAAAAAAAGAAAAGAAAAAAAAAACACCCCTCGAAGAAATGCCTAATTGATACCTTGTACTCTTTGCGGTTGAAAGAATATAAAACATCCCCGGCCACAATGTGAGGAAATGCGGCGGCGCGATTGCTCTTCTCCCATCTGTCTTTGATTTGCTATCAGGTGCATCCGTGGAGCAGGGAGTCAGTCAAAACAAAGCAAGGCTCTGCAAAGTGCTTCCCTTCATGAGAGGCAGAACTAATTGATGGCAAATCTAATGTTCCATAAGCAAGGAAATTTCCTGTGCTCACTTTGGCCTCGCGTTGCCGTTGCACGCTGTCGGCGGAGAACGAAAGCTCGCACAACGACTCTCGCAGGGTCGGCACCAGATGCCGTTTTAGTTCCCGGTGGCAGGTTGCGCACCCAGGTGAGCTGACACCCACGCTAGTCTATCACGCTGCTGACTAACCAGCGCTGAATTTACGACACGTAATTTCCTCCGGCGAGGTGAAATTAAAGTGTTAGATGGGCAGCTGGAAACTTTCAACAGAGATAGTCCGTATTACTTTTGCCCCTCGAGGACAAACATTTGAAAGTGGTGGGTAGTAAAAATAGAAGAGCAGTGTAGGTTTTTTTTTTTTTTTTTTTTACCTAAAAGTACTAAAGCATCTACCTGTACAATGCAATAACATACGCTGAGTCACTCAAGATGACAAAAGATGTCTCCATATGTACACAGGTATTTTTTACAAAATCCAAAACACCAAAACCAAACCGACCACGGCATTTTAAAACGTCAATCTTAAGGAGCATTTTCAGTGTCATGATCGTTACAAGGCAACGGTTGGTGCTCAAAGCCTTAACCAGGAGGACATTTTACCCATGTCAAAGCATGTCCGTGCAACTTGTTCGTTTTAGGGGGTGGACACCTCTTAGAATATTTTTAGGATCAGTTATTACATTGATTAATCAAATCATGTGATTAAAAGAAAATAAAATTGCATTAAAATGTATGACATGCTCTTTTCTTGACAAGTGTTTATTAACCCTTTCAGGGACAGCGGTTACCACAGTGGACAGCTCATCGTGTTATCAGTTTACCGGGTGCATGAAAGGGTTAACCAATTATTGTTGTTCATTTGGTATTTTAGTGATAAAGACAACAACTAAACAACATTAAAGCGATATGACGCAAGAGGGATTGACATCCTCACTAACCTTTTTGAAATGACCGGTGCGGGTATCGTTTTCCAAAGTATCGGCAGATATTAGCAAATGTATTATTTTGAGAAAACAAAAAAGGGAAATCAGTCTGATTTCATGAAGGACTACAGAAATCAGAGAATAATTACGGCTGACAATTTTAAGATAAGCAGTGGCTCTTACTTGATTAAA